CCTGGAGTCTTTCCCACCACATTGCAGTTCCCCTTGTATTGCTCACAGCTTGTAGCTTTGATGGCATTGCCTTTGCCTTGAGCTTGCAGGTGGCCCCTTTGGTGCTTCCTTCTGATAGTCTCTTTTCCCCTGGGCCACTCCTGGAGGAGAGGGGATCACCTCTCCCTATTACTTCTTATGTTACATATTTCACTCATGCAACAAATATTTCATATATATATATATATATATATATATATGTTTGTTACAGGGTCTTTTTTTTTTTCATTTATGTATTTGGTACAGGATCTCACTACGCAGCTTGGACTTGTAATGATCCTCCTGTTTTCAGCCTCCCCAGCACTGGGATTGCAGGCGTGCACCACCATGCCTGGAGTCATTCACTGACTCAGCGTGCCCTGGGGTTGGGGATCAAACCCTGGTTCCTGCACTTGCCAAAGCAGGTGCTTAGTCCGCGGTACATGGTCTTGCTATGCAGCGTGAACTTGTAGTGATCCTCCTATTTTAGCCTCCCCAGTGCTTGAATTACAGGCATGCACTATTACACCCAGCCAGCTCATTGAGCCCAGGGCAGGGCCAGCACTGCGTGTGGTGCCAGGGATTGAACCTGGGTCCTTGAGCTTGCCTAGGCCAGTGCTTAGACTGCTGGGCTATCTCCAAGGCCCATCATGCAACCAATATTTCTAACTTACTTTACTTATTTTAATCGGAAAATTAAACAGAAAAACCCAAAAGTAAACCCAAAAGTAAAACTAGCCTAAATCCTAACATATATGTATGTATCTGTGGCATATACTTAAATGACAAAAAATAAGTTACATCAAGATTCTGTTTTTACTAAGCTGTGATGTGTCTGCTTTTGATTACAGATAGGTATATACAAAAGTAAGGAAAATGTAAGAGATAAGTTTGCTCAGCTATGAGGAAGTTACTATTTAGGTGATAAGATTAAATTGGAGGGAAAGAAGACGTGGGCCACAGAGACATAGTAAGGAACTTCTAGTTTTACTCTACATATTAAAGCAAAAAACTAAATCTGTTGAAAGATAAAATAGGTAGAACTCTTGAAGACATAGGTGAAGGCAAAGACTTCATGAACAAAACCCTAACTGTGTGGGAAATACTACAAAGAATCAACAACTGGGATATCATAAAAATCTTGTGCCTAGCCAAAGAAACCACCAATAGTGAAAAGATATCCCACAAAGTAGGAAAAAAATTGTAGTTAGTTTTTCCTCAGACAAATGATTTATATCTAGAGCATATAAAGAATTGAAAGAAAATCAGATCTTCCAGATTTAAAGGACCAATCAAAGAATGGGCATCTGAGATAAATACAAGCTTCTCACATGAAGAAGTAGAAACAGCAAGTGAATATATAAAAAGTGTTCAACATCTCTGGTCATTGAAGAGATAAAAATTAAAACAATACTGAGGTTCCATCTCCAGAAAGAATGACTATTATTAAGAAACCAACCAATAACAGATGCTAGCAGAGATGTGGGAAAAAAGGAAGCCTTCTCCATTGTTGGTGGGAGTGTAGACTGGTACAACCACTGTGGAAACCGTGTGAAGTCTTAAAAACTAGGACTAGAAGTCTCATTTGACTGTTACTCCCTTCTTGGTATCTTCCCAGAATTAAAAGCATCATACCACAGTGATACTCATGCACTCATGTTTATAGTGCCACAGTTTATAATAGCTAAATCTTGAAACAACCCAAAAACCCATCAACTGGAAGAAGCATTTTTAAAAAATACACTGGAGTACTACTCAGCCATAAAGAAGGATAAACTTGAAACATTTATAGCTAAATGGATGGGCGTTGAAACAGACCCAGAGTGCAGGCCCGGCGAGTGAGTGAGACGACCCAGGCCGCAGGATCCTGAATAGACCCAGAGCGCAGGCCCGGCGAGTGAGTGAGACGACCCAGGCCGCAGGATCCTGAATAGACCCAGAGTGCAGGCCCGGCGAGTGAGTGAGACGATCCAGGGCCTGGCGGGATCCTGAACAGACCCAGAGCGCAGGCCCGGCGAGTGAGACGACCTGGGGTCCTCTGGATCCTGAATAGAGAGCGCAGGCCCGGCGAGTGAGTAAGACAACCCAGGCCACGGGATCCTGAACAGACCCAGAGCGCAGGCCCCACGAGTGAGTGAGACAACATGGGGTCCTCCAGATCCTGAATAGACCCAAAGCGCAGGCCCAGCATGGAACCCTTCAGCAGAACTCCCTGCAAAGAGGCTAGAG